ACAGGTGCCTAGTGGCGACTATGGTGAAAAAAGAGATCCTGGCTAACAATCAGGGACTGCTTGCATGTTAGAAAGAACAATTAACTGCTAGTGTTAGCAGAGATCACACCTGATCTTGCTAACGCTGCAGTTTTGCAGACAATGTGGTTTATTTAATAAGAGTCAGTTCACATATATGCAGATTGGATGTGATTTCAACTGCATGACATATGAAATAACATTTCTTCCCATGGTGCGTGTTCACATACATCCAGTTCACTGGCAGTGTGGATTGAAAGAATCCTGTCTGATTTCTGAGCAGTGCAGTCCGGTTCAGGTGAGGATTACAGGCCCATTGATTTCTATGGGACCCACTTCTGAATCTCACGTCATAAGTTTGTGAACAAGATTTCAGGCTGGTTTTCTCTCCTGATCCTGCTGTAAACCTGACCCGATCTAAACCACTGAACAACTGCTTTGTCAATTAGCTGTGAAAAACGAGCTTCAATTCACACCGCACATGTGTGAATCCACACTTAAGGTAAATATACTGTGCACTGCAAGTTATAATCCTATGCCTTCCATTGATTCAGAGGAAGGCAATAAAAACCCAGCAAAGCATGATCCTGCAGTGGAAATAATTCCTTCCTGATCCCCCAAGAGGCAATTGGATATTCCCTGGATCAAATTTACCTATAAATGTTAGCATCTAGTTATATTCTGTGTATCTAGGAAAGATTCCAGGCCTTTTTTTTTTTTTTTTTTTTAAAGCAATCTACTGATCTGGCCAGAACCAACTCTTGAGGGAGTCTATTCCACATCTCTTACTGTGAAGAAACCTGTCCATATTTGGGAGATTAAATATCTTTCCCTCCAGCCGTAGAGTGCCTCTTTGTCCTCTGTGATGGCCTCAGGGTGAATAACTCTACACTGAGTTCACTATATGAACCACTGATGTGATTATACATGTTGATCATATCCCCCCCCCCCCCCCTTAATCTGCTCTTTTCAAAAGAGAATACATTCAGTTCCTCTAATCTATCCTAGCTGAGCTCCTCCATGCCTCTTATCAGTTTGGTTGCCCTTCTCTGTACTTTCTCCAGTTCCCCAATGTGAATTAGTGCCCTTGGCATTGCACACCATTATTAAGCTTGATCTACCAAAACCCCCAGATCCTTCACCATTGATTCCCCCAGTTGTACTCCGCTTAGTATGTATCATGCATGCATATTCTTAGCCCCCCAAGTGCATAACTTTTCATTTATCAACATTAAACCTCATTTGCCACATAGTTGCCCAATTACAGTGCATTGAGGTCGGCTTGCAAATTGGAGACATCCTGTAAGGATGTTATTCCACTGCACAGCTTGGTGTCTGAATCATTAACCACTATTTTCTGAATACGATCTTTTAGACAGTTTTCTATCCCTTTACATATGGATTTTTCCAAGCCTGTAGACGTTACCTTACACATTAGTCATGTGTGGGGAACTGTGTCCAACACTTTTGCAAAATCCAAGTATACCACATCCACCGCCACCTCTCTAACCAAGGTTTTGCTTACCTCCTCATAAAAAACAAATCATATTTGTTTGACAACTTCTGTCTTTCATGAATCCATGTTTTATCCCAGCAAGATCTCATCTACTGTATGTGGTCTTTTATTAAACTCTACAGTATCTTCCCAACTGTAGAAGTTGAAGCGGAGCTCCACACAAAAGGGGAAGTTAAGGCTTTGTCCCCCACTTCCCATTAAGGATTTGCACCTATGGGGAGCGGGTACCCAAATATATAACAGGTACTCGCTCCCACTTCCGCTATGATTGCCTAGGCATTCGGAAGCAGAAGTTGTCCTTCCTGTAGTCTTCTGGTACACGTGACAGGTCCCAGAAGACTAGGGGGCCATTCACAAAGCGCAGCGCTTCTCACACATGTGCAGTGGGCACCCGGCTGTGAATGCGCAAGCTGTCACAGCTGGGTGCCCACACTGAAGATGAAGATGCTGGCATCAGGGAAAGAAGATGGCTGGTAAAACCAGCAGCGATGAAGAGACTGCTGGACCAAGGGACAGGTAAGTGGCTGTATTTTAAAAGGCAGCAGCTAGTTTTTATAGCCGCTTACTTTTATTTATTTTAGGTGGAATTCTGCTTTAAACTAACAAGTCTATAATTACTTTACAGACATGCAGCACAATACATTTTGGCCTAAATTTATGAAGAATTTTTTTTTCCTTTTTGGATATTTTTTGTAAAAAAGTTTTTTTCCTCTTTAAAAGGTTTTATTTGTATAAAAAAAATACCCAGTGGCAATCAAATTTCTACCAGAAGAAAGCTCTATTTATGTGAAAAAATATATAAATTTCAATTGGGTCCAGTGTTGCATGATTGAGAAATTGCCAGTTAAAGTAGCACAGTGCTGAATAGGAAAAAAAAAAACCCATTTAAAAAAATGCTCTGGTCATGAAAACCTTCCAAGGGTGCTTAACACACCTTAAAAGCAGCTAATGCTTCAACATGGCTTTTTTTTTTGTAGAAGCTTGGCAATTGCCATGTGTTGATTTTCCTCTGTTTTAAAAGGTTTCCAAGCTCAGCAATACCCTCATTCAGCAGATAGCCAGCTAATTAGTACCCTCATTCAGCAGATTTTTAACTCAATCGTACTCCCAAGCTTTGTTGATCCCCTGCTCAGTAGTTAAGCCCCAGCTTTGCTGATCCTCCTGTCACCAGTCTCCACTCACCTCCCGCTATATTGCTCCCACGCTGCACACCACTTCTAGTATTTCAGACTCGTCTCCCAACACTGCCGATTCTCCACAGCTCAGTCCTCTTCCTCATCAAATGTGATTTTTTCATTTCCGGTACTTATATAGCGCTGTCAATTTGCGCAGCACTTTACTGATATATTATACATTCATATCTGTCCCTAACCCTCAAGGGGCGTACAATCTTAGGTCCCTAACTTGCATTCATAGATACACATACTAGGGCCAATTTAGACAGGAGCCAATTCACCTACCAGCATGTCTTTGGCGTGTGGGAGGAAACCGGAGTACCTGGAGGAAACCCACAGGCAGAACATGCAAACTCCAGGCAGGTGGTATCTCTTAGGTTCACCTGCTGCGGTCTGCCGATCCCCTGCCAAATCAGTCCTCTCTGATCCCCACTCACCTTCCACTAAAATTCATACATTGTGCACCATACGTGCTACTAGCTGCACCTCTCCAGTCCAGACCCCTCTTGCCTTCCTCCTGCTCCACACCAGATGTGACATCTGTACCAAACACTCCCAGAATGTATACACATGAACCAGAAGTGACTGCTGATGACAGCTTTCCAGTTTGCTTGTTGGAAGCAATAAGACTTCTATGGAGACTTTAGAGATACTTTGAAGCACTAAGAAAGCAACATGGTGTACAATTTTCCAAGCACAGGCAATTAAAGTGTCAACAGGACTGTAAGGCAGCCATTTTATTTTGAGAGTGTTTTGATTGGCATATGCAGAGCACTTTCTAAAAAGCACGTCAAATGCTCCATTTTAAAGGAAGTGTAAACAAGGCCTCACAGTTTCTTATGGGATAAAGGTTTTACATGAAGGCTGATCATTTGTAAACACCCGTCAGTGGTAAATGGTTTGTCTCAACACTGCTAAATTTGCAGAACTTGGTCTGTCGAAAAACAAGCAATTACCAGCTGTATCACCTAGAAAAAAAATAAACCCAAAACAAACGCAGCTTTCACATTTAAGAATTGGTAATATATCAAATGTTTAATTTTGGGTTTATTACCACTTTAAATAGCTAGGCCCAAACCATTTACTGAAAAGGTGCGTTTGCTGGGCATGTTGTATTAACTGTATGTAGCTTCAGCTGCATTGTGTTCTAGCCGCGGGAAAAGAACTTCCCATCCCACTCCCAGAACAAAATCCAAGTCAGGCTGAGCGCTGCTCAGCCATTCACATGAAGCTGTGTATTAATTGGCGGCTTCCTCTGATTGGCTAAGGTGGGCAGATGTCTCCTTTTGCCCCAGCCGATCAGAAGGAGCCTTGTATGCATTCAATACAAAGCCTCCTGTGAATGGCTAAGCAGCACACAGCCCAACTCAATATTGTTCCACAGTGGGACAGGAACTTCATATCCTATTGCTGGAACACAGCTGAGACTACAGTTAATACAGCACATCCACCAAGCACACTTGTTCTTGCAAGGCCACCTTGGCACAAACTATTTAATAGGGACATTACATTTTGGAGTCGGGTCAGAAGGCAGCATCTGGATTCATACACTAGTAAATCTCATGCAGATAATTAACCTACAGTGCAGAATGCCAGCATAAAAAGACCTGCAACCCAACACTAAAGGTGCATAATGTACCTGCCTACCCCCCTTATACTTACCTGAGCCTTCATTTGTCCTAGCACTGTGCACATCTGCAGCTCTCCTCCCCCCTCGCTTCCTGTTCTCACAGGCTTTGCAAGGCCATTGGCTCCTGCTGTCAAAGCCAGTGACAAGGGAGCAGGGCCAAATCCCAATGTATGTTGTACAGATGCAAACAGCAGGGTTCAGGAGCAAGCACAGAGGTGGGCCACCATATAAAAAAAATAAAAATGAAAACGTCTTTCTATATTGTAAAGGGCATTTATTAGCAGCCCTGGTATGACCCAACATTACACTTTCCTACTCCGTGCACTGGTATTGCAAAATGCAGCCCTGAAGCTCATCTTCTTGGGTCCCACACTACATCATTGCATCGGTGTCCTGTGAGGAGAGTGCTGCTGCAGAAGGGCACAAGGCTGGATCAAAGAGGCAAGTATGGTGAAGGGTGAAAAGGTGATACAACTGGTGGGATTTATTTTTACCTTAAGGTAGGGAATGCATTAAGGGGGGAAAAAAAAAGTCCTGCCTTTGTAGTTTAGTTTCTAGACTGATATTAGCAAGAATGCTTTGACCACCAAACATTACCAAAACAAAGATGTTGTCCAAAAACAACTTTATTTTAATGTCAAATTTACAAGTACAATCCCAACTAGCGATAACGGTGGAGCTGAAGAGTGTTGCGTCTTCTCCAGGCAGCACGACGAGAGCCACCAATGGTAAGATGGAACTTGTGACCTTTGCCAAGACCACGACTCTTCTTGCCAGCGGATGTCAGCCCACGCATCTCCCTGTGTTTGTGCACAGCTTTTGTGATCCATTGGGTGTCTGGATTGCGTCTGATGGCCTTGTGGAAAGGGTCAATGAGGATGATCTCAAAGAACTTATAAGTGGAGTCTTCGCCCACCCAGTAGGAGCCAAGAACTCTCAGTCCTCCACAGTGACGGCCGGCACGCTCCTGAAAAGAGAATTTAGAATGTGGTTTATATTTACCAGGTTAAGAGGAGAAATGCAAACATATTTAAGCTACTTTGTAATTTTAATAAAAGAGCAAGCTACAATACTTGATAAGTTACTGTTCATAAAACATGACTTTGGGCTGCTGCTTTCAAAAAGGTTTGGGGTTTTTTTATGTGATCTTAATTCAGTTAGATTTATTACTGGATTCAATAAGTTTAGAGCCATTTCAAGCATTATCCGCAAACACTGGCATATCCTCAAATTAGACCCCAAATTGGGTCCTTTATTACCATCTAACCCTTCAGTTACTTTCAAACGTGCACACACATTAAAAAACCAACTTAGCCCCTAGTAAATTAAGATCAAATAAAAAAAATGGCCAAGCGCACACTCCGTAAACAGAACAGCGAAGGTGTTTTCTTATACTTGCTTGCACCAAAATGGACACTTCAAACCTGAAGACCAGGTTAAATCCAATTTCCCCTACTGTGAGGTCCCCCTTTTTATTTTCCCCCTAGACAGAAAAACATCCAACGCTTGCATTGTAGGGAAAGCCCCACTACAAGGGTGTGGTCAGGTTTCTACTGCTGTGCTTCCTTGCTGAGGCACCTTCCCAGAAACAAACCATGTCATTGGAACAGAAATGTGGAGGAAAAAGTAGGTGATGTGGACAGGGACCATCCAGAACGAAGGCTGACCAAACAATACTCAATTTTCCATTTACCAAAACCCAGGAGGTACCATATCGAAACTTCTAATTTGTGTGCAGACAGGTCCTTGGACTACATAGTTGAAGGTAAATCTTAAATAAATTGAACAAAAAAATTGTATAATGTATAGCCAGCCTAAAGCAGGGCACAGATGAATCAGTTTTTTTTTTTATTTAAAAAACCCACACGGACCAAATTCCCCCATTCACGCACTTGAGGTGGATGGGGGAATCTTCTCCGCTGAGTCATTGTATTCTGACAGCAGGATGAATTCCCCTCTAGCAGAACACTCTGATCAATGTTGCAGGCTATAGCCAGCAGCTCTGATTGAGGAGAAAACAAAAATAAAAACCCTACAGTGCCCATACATGGATAAAAATTCAGTCGGTTCAGATTTCAATCCATGTATGGACGGCTCAATTTCAGCTGAAGTTAGCCTTTACCTTGGAATAGAGTAAGCACTTTCAATTGCTCCCCTCACTGGAGCAAAAACTGAGCAAAATAAACCCAACTGCAATAATATCTTCCAAAAAAACCCCCAAAAAACAAACTCAAGGTTACAATTACTGTGAGCTATTGCCTGGTCAATTTTAATTGGTTTAGTTCAGGGGTGTCAAACTGGTGGCCCTCCAGCTGTTGCAAAACTACAAGTCCCTCATGCCTCTGCCTTTGGGAGTCATGCTTGTAACTGTCAGTCTTGCAATGCCTCATGGGACTTGTACTTTGGCAACAGTTGGAGGGCCGCCAGTTTGACACCTTGTTTACCCTGGTTTAGTTGGCCTTTTATCCTTTGGCTGTGCCTTCAACAAGAAACACAAACAATCATTTCTCAAGTAAGCTGCCCTGGAAGATGATCTGGGGAAAAATTGTTTGGGTCAAGTTTCATATACTAACATGTGTACCCACTGGGCATTGTATAAACTTGTGAGAGGCCTCAGCTACATATGGTAGAGCGCTGTGTTCTGGCAGCAAGGCAAGACCTTCCCACCTCACATGGAACAGAACCAGGTCAGGTTATCTCCCACTTAGCCAGAGGAATCTTTGTATTCACTGATCGAATACAAAGCTGCATATGATTGCTCGAGCTCTGCTCAGCCCGACTATTTTGTTCCTGGAGAAGAGACTGGAAGGTCATGTTTTGCTGCCAACACACAGCGCCGAGGATACACATTAGTGGTGCACCAAAATGAAGATTCTGGTGCCCAAACTGATAGCGAAAATTCAGAATGCATGTGGCCGAAAACCGAACCAAAACCGAAATGTCTGCGTATGTGGGGGTGGGGAGGCTCCAATGTTTTTTGTATTTTTTTCTACTTTAATGTATATATATTTTTTTTTTTTTTTTAAAACTTATGATTTTATTGCCATCACATAGGGGACCAATAGTCCCCTATGTGATAGCATATAAGTGACAGGTCCTCAGGAGAGGAGCAGTGGATACAGAAAAGCTCCCTCACTGGCTGTCACTATATGTCAGTGTCGGTTTTTAAAAGCAATTGCCGGCTTTTTTTTCCCATCACCATAGTCGTCACTTTCCTGGGAGCTAAAAGGAAACTTTAGTCTTTCTGGAGCTAAAAGAAACAAAGAAAGGGTTCCTTTTAGCTCAGGGAAAGGGACAGCAGATTCTCTGAGTTATAGTGAAGGGGGGAAAAAAACAAAAACCTGGCAATTGCATTTAAAAACTGGCACTGACATATAGTGACAGCCAGTCACTGTATCCACTGCTCCTCTCCTGTCATCCCCACCCTCCGCCTCACATCTGCAGTACACACTGTCCCCTGTATCGGCCAAATTTTTCCTATCGGCAGGATGCCGATAGAGATATTTTCAGCTATGTTTCGGTGGCCGAAATCTCGATGCATCCCTACTACATATACAGCGCACCCAGTGGGAGCATATGTAAGGAAGTGTAAACGAGCCCTTAGGAAATTGTACCCAAATTGTAATGCACAACACACAATGAACTATTCTGCACTGTGAGGAAATCATGCAGTTGGGCTTTCTAATTTGTTTAACCTCTTCACGCTGGCCGAACGCAAATGTGCAGCCTCCTGGCGTCCGGGCCTAGACGCCGAGCGGCCGCACATTTGCGTTCTATTAAAAAAAAAAAAATATGTGCTGAGAGCATGCGCCCTGCATGCTCCAAGCACACGTCTGGTACTCACGGAAAGTTCCCGATCTCCTCTTTTGATTGGGACCTTTCCCGATCATGTGACTGCCCTGTCACATGACCCTAAACTCCGCCACGCCTCCTGAAACCCTTAAAGGGCCAGGAGGCGCAGGTGCCAAGGGGTTAACCACTTGCCATCCAAAGGATTTAACCCCCTTCCTGACCAGACCATTTTTTGTGATACAGCGCTGTGTTACTTGAAGTTTAAAATTTCGCAGCTATGTAAACCTACACCCAAATGAACTTTATGTCTTTTTTCCCCACAAATGGAGCTTTTTGGTGGTATTTGATCGCCTGTGCGGTTATTTTTTTAACTACAAACAAAAAAAAACCCTGTGATACTCGGTGATGGCCGGGTGCCAGTGTGGAATCACCAGCCGGGACCCAGTGATCAAACAGCTGAAGCTGCCAATGGTGGCAAAGGTAGGGTGCACACGCCCCCTACCTGGAAATACAAAATGTATATATACACACGTAATTTTGCGCAGCCCTCCAGCAGTAGTTACAGTAGCTACAAGGCGGTCGGGAGGCAGTTAAGGCATTTTGAAGCACCACACTGTCAAAGTCTGATCAGGGGGTCTCAAACACAAACAGCTTTTATTTTGTTATTGCTCATTGTGCTAGGAAAACAATGGAGTGCCATTTCAACGTGACATTTACACACTTAAAGGTTTGGTGTTCCAGTTTTGACTGCTGTACAAGTAAAATTAGGCCTCTAATCTAGGCCATCTGCATGTTTAATCAAGAGCTTTAAATAAACACATTCATAGTTAATACAGGAAATCTGATGCAAAGAACTGTCAACTTCAATGATAGAGAAACTAAACAAAGACAGTCCTATCAACCTTGTATGTTGAATACTTACTGCACATTTAATAAAAAGGAATCTGCTACTTGACAAAGTTAAAACTGAACCAGCTAGAAAATAAAAACATTACCAGTGCTGGCTTGTTTTTGAACATATATGTTGCAAGGCAGTCATCCTTCGTTCACTACTTAGGTCACTTTCCTAGGATTATATTAGACTACATTCATACTTTAGCATTTTGTAGCTCAAAGCCACAAAAACTCTAAATCTGAAAATCAACTGTTCCCCATTGTCCCCATTTACATTTTATCTCATGATCAGGTGTGAACAGGCACCATAGAGAACAGATTTTGTTTTTGTTAAGTTTCGCACTTCAAGCTGCAACTCTTAGGTGTGAATGGAGCCTTAATGTTAGGACCCCAATATATAATTACTTGTTTTGGATCAGGTGACTTGCTAAGTAAAGAAGCACAAAGGGACTCCGATAAAGCACCTTCACATACAGGCCAGCAATGACCAATCACCACAGACACAGCCCCTCACAACACAAATCATATGCGAGATTTATAAAATTGCAGCAGAGGCATTAAAAAGTTTAAAAAATTGCACTCATCACCTGTCTATTAAATGACAAAAAAAATGCATAACACAGAGAAATTAAGGCCGTGGTTTGTCCAGGGTAGGAGTGTTTGCATTCTATAGCATGCTACCCTGTTTCCCCTAAAATAAGACGTAGTGCTATTTTTGGGAATTGCTAAAGTATAAGAACTACCCCGAAGATAAGACCTAGTTGTGATCAGGGTTTTTTTTTCAGCTGGAACATGGCGGAACGCCATTCCGCCAACTCCGGCACTGGCCTTGCGCACACCCATATCTACTGTCTCTTATAAACACAGAAGCAATGCTGAAGTGACAGCACCATCCGCTCCCACAGAACCTCCCTACCTCTGTACTCACTGTGGGACAGGGAAGGAACAGATATTTGCGGGTGCAGTATGCAGTGTGTTTAGGGGTGGGGCATCTCCTCCTGCAGCCTAATGCATGGAAGCCGATGCCCCGGGGGTGATCACCGGCCAGTGGGGAAGAGGCGGAGCGGTAAGTGCGCTTGGTGCACTGTGTGGGAAGATAGGAAACAAAACGGGAGTTACTATAAAGAGGGGCCGGCTGCTGACAGCTGTGTTTTGCAGAGCTAGCTAACCATATGAGGGCAGTGGAGGGGGAGGGGATGTGCAAAGGTGAGCTGCAATCAGGTGTTGCAGAGGTAAATTGAGTCTGGTGAGTTGCAGACAGGGTGCATAGGTGAGCTGCGGCTGGGAGGGTGAGGGAGGTGAGCTGAGTTGCAACCCACCTTTGCACCCCCAGCCCACAGCTCTCTGCATTCCCCGTCTGCAACTCACCCCTTCACCCTGTCTGTGGCTCATATCTGCACCCTGTCTGAAACTCACCTGTCAAGTCACCCCTGCAACACCTGACTGCAGTTCACAACTATTAACCGGCCCTCTCCATAGTAACCCTCATCCACAACTGCCTGCAGCTCACCTCTGCACCCCCTGTCCACACCTGGACATTTAAGAAATAAGACCTACCCCGAAAATAAGACCTAATGTGTTTTTTTGAGCCAAAAAAAAAATAAAAAAGACAGTGTCTTAAATTCAGGGAAACATGGTATATTCCAATGCCACATGCACACAGTACTTGGCAAACAATGGCCATTCTAAAACACAATGTGGCACATAAACACAGGACAGAAATGGCCAGGTTCAGGATGTTTTGGATTGCAGACTGCAACATGTAAAATTACAACAACAAATACATTGCAGTCCTAGAGACAGAAAAAAAAAAAAAAACTACACTTCTGAATCAGACATCTGTCAATCCACTGACGTTATTAGATCAGAAGACAACAGATCCTCAACAGTCTCCATTCAACTCTTAGCTATCCTAATTGCGGAAAAGGAGAGGATTTCCATAGATGTAACAGATTTGTCTTTAACCTCTTCCCGCTGGCCACACACATATGCAGCCTGTCGGCAGGTTAAACGCCAAACACTTGCATATATGTAGCTATAGGTGAACAGTTCACTGTGCTGAAAGCACGCTCCCTGTGTATTCCTAGAACACTAACTGAAGTGTTATGGAAAGCTCCTGACGCATACTTGCGATTGGGAGCTTTTGGCTGTCACAGCAGTCGCATGATCAGAATATGCCTGCCTCCACTACCTGGCATTTCCATCCACTTAAGAGCCAGCAGGCAGTGGTGGGAAGGGGTTAACTGTATATTAAGGTCCAAGTTACCAGGATTACAATAGTACACAGAGCATGCTATAGCAGTGCTACCAAGTATGACCCAAAACAATGTAAAAGTATATCCAAAGGATGAGAAATGTAAAAAAACATCAGTGGAGTAGTCCATTAACAGTGGAACACCGCAGATTTTAAGTTCTGAAAAAAGTAAGTACCACCATACCTCAGCAACAGACTGCAGGCTGCGAGCAAACTTGATCTGGTTAACACCATGGTGCACAGGTTTACCATAGGTTGCACCCTTGGGCACGGGGCGCTTACGTCCACCACGGCGAACTCTGACACGGTAGATGACATACCCTGTTGTGGAGGAGAAAATTAAAAGTAAGAAGACCAGTCCTTCGCCAAGATGCTACATCTGATATTCAGGAAGCCAAATGCAATCCATGTAGCAGATTGCTTGTACATCACCATTCTAAACCATGCTGTACTATTAAAAAGTGTAGTTACACTGAAAAAACTGGTTGAGAAAATATCTGGCCTAAAAGATCTCCGTAGAAAAGAGTATATTCTCTCCTGCTGCCTGCACTGACAAACACTTCTGTTTAAGAGAACTTTCTGTGAAAAGTCTGATTAGAAAATAGGAAACAGCAGTGATGTAGAGGACAGCAAAAGGAACCAATAAGTGCAGCAGCAGACAAAGTTCAACACCTCCCAGGAATCAGTGTCTGAAAGGACTTCAAAAAGGAAGATGTCACAGTTTGCAGTGGGAGATAAGGACTTTTTTTTTTTTTTTTTTTTTTTTTTTTTAGGGATTTTAAGACAAATTTAAAGTTTCCTAACAGGGTTGCTTTTATCCCACCCCTAGAGCACACTCCAAAGTGGAAATAATTCCCCTTATGGATTTAAGGAGTCTACACACCAACTTTTTGTAATACAAAGCACCTGTTTATCTGCTTACGTTTACTGATGCAAACCTGAGGAGCTGTCACCTGGAAGTGCTACTAACTAGTGGGTGCCGAAACCGAAACAGAAAATTCCGAATGCATGTGACCGAAAACCAAACCGAAATGTCTGTGTATGAGGGGGTGGGGAGGCTCCAATTTTGTGACAGGCCATCTTTGTAGGGGGGCAATGTGTGCAAGGAAGGGGCAGGAGAGGAGCAGTGCATACAGTGAGGTAGCAGTGTATACAGAGAGGCTCCCTCACTGGCTGTCACTATATGTCAGTACCGGTTTTTAAATGCAATTGCTGGCTTTTTTTTTTTTTCTTCACCATAGCTCAGAGAATGAAACAGTTTCTTTTAGCTCTAGAAAGAAACTAAAAAGAAACAGTTTCTTTTACCTTGGGAAAGACAGCTGATTCTCTGAGCTATAGTGAAGAAAAAAAAAAAAAAAACAGACCCAGCAACTGCATTTAAAACCGACACTGACATAGTGACAGCCAGTCACTGTATAAACTGCTCCTCTCCTGCCTTTCTTTGCCGCCACCTCCCCTCTGCAGTACATAGTCCCCTGTATCGGCTAAATTTTTCCCATCGGCAAAATGCCTATAAAGCTATTTTCGGCCGATATGTTTTGGTGGCCGAAATTTCGATGTATCCCTAACAACAACAGTCTAAGCCATGGACCCATATTAATCTCAGCCCCTTCTTGTACACTTCTAAACTACAATTGGCATCCTGAAGATAACTTATTTGAGCAAAACACACCTTGCTTGGCCTTGTAGCCTAGTCTACGAGCTTTGTCTGGGCGAGTGGGACGTGGTGCACGATGGAGAGAAGACAGTTGGCGATACTGCCAGCAGCGGACACGCAGGAGAAATCGCATAACATCCGACTGCTTCTTCCTCCATAGCTCTTGCATGTACTTGTAGGCACCCATGCTGGCTTACACTGGAAAAGATTAACACTGACATCAGTCAAGAGTTACAGTACAAAAAAAAGCATATCCAAGGTATGAAAATTTACAATAAAGTAGTAAATTTAAGAAACATTACATATACAAAACTTTTACTAACTGACACGCTAACATTTTTATCTTAATTTTTCATTGACAGCTGATAATAAAATGAGACATAACTGAGCACAGGTTCAAAAGTGGACTAGGCTTTGTTCCAAAGCCAACATATAGTATTGTATTTACCTTTTAAAAGAATAAGTGTGTAGGAGTTACAAAATAAGAAACAAATGGCTTAAAGCTACATCAAAACATTTAGAAACCCCTACACAATAGCATAAGGACCACGACAGGGATGTATTCCGATGGTGGCTTGTGATTCGTACACGTCATGTCACTTTTTTCATGGACATTTGTATGTTCACATTTATATGTAGACCAAGCTACCCAAAAAAGGGCCATGATTGAAACTTGGACAAATCCCTTTGATGTCAGCCTTTCTTAAAACAAATTCCTTCACTTAAAGAGTGAACACGTCCACCAATCCATAAATCCCATGTGACATCAGTATCCCAGGAGACATTACTATCCTCCATTCATAGGCGGAATAGACAGCATTAGATCTCTGTATGCGAATGTGTGAGATCTGGTGCAGCATCACTGGGGTGCCAGCTACAGGAACCAGGAGGGGTAGCCAGTAGATGGTGGGTGTGAGACAGGACCTAGAGCAGGACACTGGGGGTGATAGAGGACAATACTGGATCTACTGGGCTTGTAGGTATGTTACTACAGCACAAGATGAGCAGTGAATTTGAGGGACATGAAGAACATTTTTTTGGTTCCTGTTTAAATGCTTGCTCTGTGTGGTGATTTGACATTAAATGGTCGCTGTACTATTACAGCCTGGTCTGCATGCCAACATGGAGAAGCAACTGTATATGAGCTGATCACTGCATAGAAGTAAAGGCCGTATGATGTTGGTCTATAATCAGGTCTGGGGTAGGCTGTGGGTGTACATGATGGTACTTCCTAAGGCCGGGTGTCTAACCCCTGTGCCTCCAATTCCTAACACTTCATTGCACCCAGGAGCAGCATCCAGCCCCACTGCCTCCAGCGGTTTATTACAGGCCAAAATACACTGCGGCTGAATCTGGGACCAAGTGGTACTCACTTTAGTGCCCTATGTGCTCAGGGATGAATGCTTGGGAACACACAATACCTGCGTTCTGGACATTCTTTCCTGAACTCACTGGGCCCTAAAGACAGGTACCACTCAGTCTAGCCCCAAGATATTGCAGACTTTATGGGCTGGTTTACACCATCACACAAAAATGTGCTGTGCTGTTTTGTGTGCATCTCATGTGACCCGGGTGCAGTGAGATGTCAATTGATTCATTTGAATAGGCTGGAACTGCACTGGATCACAGAAAGAGGCACATGCACTATTTTACAGAATGCAGAGCAACCGGATCGCACGGTACTTCTGTCCCATGTAGGCAGATGCACTGCATTTGGGGAGTCTATAGCATTGCACTGACACTTGCTGCAGATCAAGTGCAGTGTGTTTTTAACATGGTGTGGAACATGTGCACAGAATGCAGGTTTCTAGGTTCTGGTGTGAACTGACCCTCAGACTTGGTCAAGCTGTGGGCCTGGATGCTGCACCTGTGCGTCCAGAATTGGGGCCCGGAGGATAGACAGCCCATGTGCAAATATCCTAAAAAGTATAAATACGGGTCTATTCACTAAAGCTGGGTCACTCAGAATCTTGTACACGCCTGCAGAGAAGCCAATCAGATTACAGCTTTTATTGGTAAAGCTTAAATTAACATATTGAGATTAGAAGCTGATTGGCTACTATGGACAGGTGCACCTGATTCTGAGTCCACCAGCTTTAATGAATAAACCCCACAGTGTGGAAGCACAAGGTGCCTGGCTGACAGGACATCTCAGCAAGTTGTCTATTCTGTATGTAGATACATGACTGCTTGGAGAATAGAATCCGATCAGGACTGCAGTGTACACACCACACACATACAATACGAATCCTAACATTCTCGTCACCGCTCATCAGTCCACTACGGTCCTACACACCGCTCATCAGTCCACTACGGTCCTACACACCGCTCATCAGTCCACTACGGTCCTACACACCGCTCATCAGTCCACTACGGTCCTACATACTGCTCATCGGTCCTACACACCGCTCATCAGTCCACTACAGTCCTACACACCGCTCATCAGTCCACTACAGTCCTACACGGTCCTACACACCGCTCATCAGTCCACTACGGTCCTACACACCGCTCATCAGTCCACTACGGTCCTACACACCGCTCATCAGTCCACTACGGTCCTACATACTGCTCATCGGTCCTACACACCGCTCATCAGTCACACCGCTCATCAGTCCTCCTACACGTTCCTACATACTGTTCTCACACACCGCTCATCAGTCCACTACAGTCCTACACGGTCCTACATACAGTCCACTTCATCGGTCCTACACACCGCTCATCATCAGTCCACTACAGTCCTACACACCGCTCATCAGTCCACTACAGTCCTACACACCGCTCATCAGTCCACTACACACCGCTCATCAGTCCACTACACAGACCGCTCATCAGTCCACTACAGTCCTACAGACCGCTCATCAGTCCACTACAGTCCTACAGACCGCTCATCAGTCCACCGCTCATCACATCAGTCCTACAGACCGCTCATCAGTCCACTACAGACCGCTACAGACCGCTCATCAGTCCACTACAGACCGCTCATCAGTCCACTACAGACCGCTCATCAGTCCACTACAGACCGCTCATCAGTCCACTACAGACCGCTCAGTATGGGGATCCGGCCTCTCCTATACACGCACTGGGCCGTAAGGAACATCAGTCCAGCCGGCTGTCTCCCCCATATCACAGTACCACAGACACTGAGCTCTCTTCCGGGCCCCCAGAGAGGTGCGGTGTAGAAGCCCCCCACTGACACACAGGCAGGCCTTCCACACTGACATGCCAGGAGCCGGCCCGAGGCCTGCAGTGGGCGGCATGTACAAGCCCCGAGTTCCGGGCAGTAATCCCCCAGCAGGCAGCGTCCGGGGCATGGAACACATTCATCCACCGACATGGCCGGAGCTCCGGAGGAGAAAGGAGGATGGACACGGATTAGAAACCCTCATTTTACCCCAGACAGGAAGCCTCCATTACCTGATGGCTCGGCAGCCGGAAAGGAAGGAATGCGCTACCCAGAATGCCTTATGATGAGCCGGGCGCAGAGGGCACTTCCGGCTTAAGAAGAGAGGCTTTTGGGAAATGTAGTGCGGGAGGAAGACGTGTGTCGGTGGGATTGGGGCTGTGAGGAAGAGTGTATGTTAGTAACCGGGAGCTCCGGTGTTGTGTACCGCCCCCTATAGACAGCTGTAAGCCGCAACGAGCCGCAGATCATAGGCAGATATTCCGTCCAGGACGTGGAACTGCAGAAACAATAAGCTTCCCATTAATAGAAATCATATGAAAACCCCCTGTGATAGGTGTAGTGCTACCCCCTTAGGAGTCGCTGAGTTTTGGGTCCCTCTATAGTTCTGCACAGCCAGGCAGCATTCATTTTCTTCCTGCACACTTGCTCACTGCAGACAGTAACCAGTATTATACAGGTGTATTGAACTTGGACGGGATTGAGGGATGCATGGGATGCCCAAGGAACTGTGAACTGCAAGGACAATCTCCTGAACAACTACGTACAAGTCTATGGACAAGAAAGAGAAATCTGTCTCCTGTCTGAGAGGATTCCAGCTCAATGGTGTACCTCCTCAGACCCCACGTGAAACCTCCTCTTCGCCCCTTTACACTGAGGGTATTCCCTGTGCAAGGGGATCCAGAAGCTGCCACCGTCAAACAGTCCCGGCTGAGGAGCTAGTTGGGTTCTCCACCTGACTGCCCTCTCCCGTTCTCCAACCCAGGGGGTGGAAGGTTACTCTCACTGTCCTTCCTCATGGGTTGGTGGCTGCCTTTAGGCCTTCCGCTAAGCTGGTTCCTTCACTGCTGCTCATGCTGTGCCTCTTGGTAGACGGTCCCCTTTTCAAGCACCTGCCTGTGGGTAGGTCCCTCCCTTGGCCCCCTCCCAGGCTTCATGCTCCAGCCTCTCAATCCATTTTTTTGTTGAAAAATATACTTTATTTTTTACATAAGTATAAAAAACCAAGATACTTTAGTCGGGGTACGTTCCACCTTGTACTGCGACGCAGCGCATAAATACACCACATAACAATACAGTTCCAATCATACAATAAATACATTCACTTATCGGTATAATGCCTAACGTGTGCGGGACAAACAAATTCCCTGAACCATCACGGCATGCATGACGCCGCTTACCCCGAGTATGTGGCTCCCTAAGGTTCCACCAGAGTAACCTGGTGGCGCGAAGTCAGATGTGCAGTGTATGGGTTAAACCCCTGTCCCACACATCCTACGTGGCACCACAACATAACCATATCATGCAAAACATTACCAAAAAAATTGGGTGTGTTGGGGGGTAGGAAGGAGGGCAGAGGAGGGGACACAGAGTTCACAGGCCCGAAGCTTTATTGAAAGGACAAAGACACGCAAGAGAGAGTAGAAGGAAGGGGAGACCCTCAGATGTCCTCTTTCTCCTTAAAGTCCATCAAGTTATAGTCTCTGAGCAGACTGAGGACCAGTCTGTGACAGTCCTCAATGGACACCCTCTCCCGCTGGTGGATGAGGCGCTTCCTGGCACACCATAAAGCGTCCTTGAAACAACACAGAACCCGCCAGGCACCGTTAATGTCCTCCAGGGTAAAAGTCCCACAGAAAAGTCCATTCAACAAACCAAAGTGTGTGATGGCTGCCTGTGGCACAAAGTCCTTGAGTTCTGGTTCCAAGGCCCTCAACAGATCCTGAGCAAAAGAGCACTCCCAGAATACACGCTGAGCCGTTTCATCCTTGATCATGCAAAAAGGG